CATAAACCTGCCAGCAGACTTGATCTTGGCATCATCCACAGCCAACACAGAGGTAAGTATCACTGAACTAAACCTGCAGCTAAAAATCATTAACGGAATAGCAAAAACACTGCATTTTGAAGAGTCACTGAGTGTAAAACACATTATGGATCAGACCAACAAATCCAAAGGCAATAACATATGGAAGCCCAATTGCAAGTTTTTATATGAGAACAAAAGTCAGAATTGCGAGATATAAACTCAAAATTGCGACTTTTTTCTTACAATTCCAATTTTGATATTTTGCAATTCTGAAAAATAAAAAGATTAAATTGTAAGTGAACTGTGAGATAAAAAGTCGCAATTACCTTTTTTTTATTTGTTTTATCCAGTGGCAGAAACCAGCTTCCATAATAACATGATCAATTAGAAAACGTCAGTAAAATATCAACACAATATCATATAAGTAATCATACAATATCAAACAATATAAAAAATAAAAGGCGGCAGATGGAGTGAGAGAAATTGTGAATGCAAGTTTACTATAATTATATTTATCTGATTATAAATATTCTATGCATTTTATAAATAGACTACACTGGAAAAAAATAGACATAGGATATAATTTGAAAAACAAAATCTAATTTGGTAGTAAAGTAAATAATTATTACAAAGTAGCATTGAATTAAACGTGAAATTCTGAAGCTTTTTGTGTGTGTGTGTACCGGAGTAATGGCTGCTGAAAATTCAGCCTTGAATAAATTAGATTTTAAAATACATTTAAATACAAAGCAATTATTTTGAACTGTAATACTATAATAATATTTCACAATATTACTGTTTTTACTGTATTTTTAATAAAAATAAATGATCATTTAAAAATCTCACTGACCCAAGCTTTTGAATGGTGGTGTATAAACACCCACTACATCCTTTCTGTTCATAAACCCAAACCTTTTCAAAGCTTTTTAAACTATTTTTCAAAACTTTATCAAGCTAATTTGAAAAACTTTGCTTTTATAGTTAAAAGACTTTATGACTTTGTTTTTTTTTTATAATTTTTTTTTATTTGATTTGAATTTAAATTGATTTGAACTGCACTTCCTTAATTTTGAATTCTGCTTCCTGTGTGCTAGCTCAAATTCAAATGCAAAATCAGAAACTGAATTGGAATTTAAAATGCATTCTAAATTCAGTTCTGAATGGTGCACAAACGCACTTAAAGAGGTGTTCATTTCAGTTAAATTCGGAGGCTGCTTTTGAAGGCAGTAGGCAGCAGTCGGCAAGGCCAGTCAACAGGTTTTGAAACACAGCCATTGAGCGTTGACCAAAATCAAGTACTTCAAAGGTTCATCTGCTGTTTTAATGATGAACACATCCTAAGAGCATCATTTCTCTCCATATTTCAAACATCTGTTAATTGTTAGGGGAAGTGGTCATCTGGACTCAGACATGAAGTGTAAGAGAATCCAATGGCAAGTGCCAAAAAACACACACCCAGACGTTCAGTCCCCAACCTCTAAACCTCCTGTATGCTTCCAGACTCAAACATGTCATTTCTTGACTTCTACTAGAAACAGTGGCAAAAAAAACGAAAATGAAATAAAGCATTTTCAGTGTTTTCTGGTTCTATGCTGGAGTGAAAAGTGTGAAGGCCGGCTGTTGTCATGATCATCCCGATCGATAGTGGCAGAAAGAACAGCATGATCAGACATCCGTCACTAAACTGGTCATTATCAAGCGGTCAAACTTCCAAAACGGAGACTCACCAAGCACAAAAAGGCAAGTTTTTACTGACCTGCTGGCCTGACTTTTTGGAAACTGTAACATAATGCATGACTTCATATTCAATGCATGGGTCAAAGACATAAGGGGGGTTTTCAAGCATTTTTTTTTTTCAACAAAAAATATAATTATATCATACAGTTTACCATGATTTACCCAGACAAAAGACTCCCATTAAAGCAGCACTATGTAACTTTTTCTGTGTTCAAAATTTGCAAAATGTATATAATGAGCGAGTACATCATGAATTAATCTTCCAAACCGCGTTTTTGTCTTATTCCGAATCACTATGGTACACTTATAATAAGTACTCATATTTGGACTATTGTAGCCTGGTCGGGTCGTCACCGCTGCGGAGTAACACATACCTGCGTGAATCGCCAGAGACATAAACTTAGAGAAGTAGCTCCGGTTGGAATGTTAATGTCTGTTTATTAACCACTAGAGCGCCAAAAGTTACATATAGTGCTGCTTTAAAATGTCATTCAGTGTAACAATAGTTCATTCACCAAAAATCTTGTCAGCCATATTTAGAACCAGAATCATTAGATTCATTAAAAGCCCCAAAAACTAATTAACTGTCATTTTCAACCTTTACCAATCTTTGCCACTATCCTTCAAAATAAGTTTTTAATCATTTAAGATATAATTACATTTAGTATGATCACTTTTCTTTTATATATTTTAATAAGTACAGGTCAGATGTTGTTTTATTTTTACATAAATATATCTGTTATGCTGAATAAAGATGGAACATTATTTCACCCATATTTTGACATTTTATTTTCACAGAAGTTATTTGAAACATTTAATTAGACACTTTACTTGCATTTAATGTGCTTTCTATGTATATAAAATCACTTTCTGTAAATTTCATTTGATGCGAACACCAAAATGGGTTGTCTTGTCTTTGATCCGCATACATGATTTAACGCAATACTGTATAAAAATGGCAGTCTGATGCAATCCTCCCTGTTATGTTTTAATCTGATGCAAGCGAATAAAAATCCAAGAAACACAAATCTTGCGAAACAAAAACACATTTAAGGAAATGTTGCAAAATACAGTGAAACTGTCTCAGTTCATCCTTCTTTGGTGTGGATGACATTATATTGTACATTAACTGAGCTTTTATAAGAGACTGACCAAATTTATGCAGTTTTTTTTTCACTATCGTTCAAAAGTAGGGTCAGTAATATATATATTTTTAAAATAAATTAATACTTTTATTCAGCAAGAATCCATTAAATTGATCAAAAGTGACAGTAAAGGCATTTACAAATGTTGATTTCTATTTCAAATGAATTCTGTTCTTTTAATTTTTCCCCCCACAAACACATGGGGCAGCACAACGGTTTTCAACACTGATAATAATCAGAAATGTTTCAGCATATTAGAATGATTTCTGAAGGATCATGTGACACTGGAGCAATTCAGCTTTGCATCACAAGAATAAATTACATTTTAAAATATTTGAAAGAAGAAAGCAATTATTTTAAACTGTAATAATATTTCACAATATTACTGATTTTACTGTATTTTTTACCAAATAAATACAGCTTTAGTGAGCATTAGAGATTTTTCAAAAATATTAAAAAAAAAAATCTTTCCAACCCATAACTACATGAAATGTAGTTTATTTCAAATAGTGGCTACTTTAAAATGAGCAATTCTTTTGCTTTCGGTTTTCATCACAGTTTCTTTGATTTCATTTAAAATTTTCATTTGGGATCATCACTAGTTATGACTAATGTTTTCTGCAATCTACACTTATTGAAAACCATACAGTAGACAGTAGAATGAGAGAAGTGTTATGTTTGGATTCCACGCTTCTTTCCACAAAGTTAGATTTTAAAGACTAACTTTCCATTTTAAACGACAAATGCGTATGTTAAAAACCATCAGTTTCAAAGTGAGCAGGGAAATATAATTACAGGAGTAAGTGGGCAAAGTGCGGAAAATGTAATTATCGTGATGAATGAGCAATACATATGTATAATTCAGACATTATGATTAAGCAGCTAAAGGGTTGAGGTCTGTGATGAGTCTGGCTTTATTTCGCTACACTGTGGGGACAAAACCATTCCCAGAAGTGAGCCCAATCTGACCAAACCATTTCTTGAGGACAGTCTCTGATTCATCGAATAAAGTAAATTAAAGAACACTGTTCCTTAAGGCCTTTTCACACTGAACGATCACACTTCACACATGACGCTTTTGAATTGAAACAACAGATCCCTATGGGCCTATTCACACCAGTCAGAGCGCGTTCACTCTAGATCTGTCAATCATGTGATCATATCTCCTGCCCTGCCGTATATTCAAAAAAATTGAGAGAAACATTTTTCTTCACATGAAATGTGACCCTGGACCACAAAACCAGTCATAAGGGTCAATTGAGATTTATACATCATCCGAAAGCTGAATAAATAAGCTTTACATTGATATATGGTTTGCTAGGATAGGACAATATTTGGCCGAGATACAACTATTTGAAAATCTGGAATCTGAGGGTGTAAAAAAATCAAAATATTGAGAAAATCACCTTTAAAGTTGTCCAAATTAAGTTCTTAGCAATGGGTATTACTAATCAAAAATTAAGTTATTTTTTAAGTATATTTACAGTAGGAAATTTACAAAATATCTTCATGGAACATGATCTTTAATTAATGTCCTAATGATTTTTGGCATAAAAGAAAAATCTATAATTTTGACCCATACAATGTATTGTTGGCTATTGCTACAAATATACCCCAGCGACTCAAGACTGCTTTTGTGCTCCAGGGTCACAAATATGAATGCAAATAAACATTATTATGACGATATATTTTCTTTATGTGTTTTTTATGCAGCTCATGGTATTTTTATAACAATAAAGGATGTTTATGACAAATGATAAGTGGGTGTAGTGTTCAATCCATTATAAAACATACAAAGAGTGCATGTCTGCCTATTATAGAATCAAACTCCACTTCAGATCCCAATCGGAAGTTATTACAAGCACTCAATGAAGGTTTAAAGTGGGTTTTTGAGCAAAAACATTAAGTGGACGATGTTAAAGCCGCATGAATACATACATGAGAAGAAATGCATTGTTGGTCGGCATGCAGGCGTGAATTCGCAGAAGGCGATCAATCACTTCGTGCTCAGTGTGAAACGGCCTTTAGGGTGCAGGTTTGGGTTTTGTCATTCAGACAGCTTGGCAAATGTGTGTAAATGTTGAGTGTGTTTCTTACCGCCCAGGTCTTGCTCAGTCTAAAGATGGGAGCGCTTTGCAATGTAGACACCACCGACACCATAGAATGAAGGTTATTCAGCTCTAGAAGTTTCTGCAGACATAGAAAGCAAGTGATGAATTGCTATACAGTTCAGAAAACTCAATGCACAAATCACAAAAAGGGTGTTTTTAAAGCACAAGAGAGAGTCAACACTGCAAAAAATTATGATTTCATCTGGTTTTCCAGAACAAATATCTAAACATTCTTAAATCATCATAAATCACTTACTTTTACATTTACTTCAGAAGTAAAAGTACTTAACTCCTTTACCTAATTGTGAACCTGGACCACAAAACCAGTCATAAGGGTCAATTTTTTGAAACTGAGATTTATACATCATCTGAAAGCATCTGAAAACAGGACAATATTTGGTCGAGATACAACTATTTGAAAATCTGGAATCTGAGGGTGCAAAAAAATCTAAATATTGAGAAAATCGCCTTTAAAGTTGTCCAAATTAAGTTCTTAGCAATGCATATTCCTAATCAAAAGTTAAGTTTTGATATATTTACAGTAGGAAATTAACAAAATATCTTCATGGAACATGATCTTTACTTAATATCCTGATTTTTGGGATAAAAGAAAAATCGATCATTTTGACCCATTCAATGTTTTTTTGGCTATTGCTACAAATATCCCCCAGCGACTTAAGACTGCTTTTGTGCTCCAGGGTCACAATTTAGTGTTGCTGGTTTAAAAATCATTAAAAATTGCTAGTACATCTCTCATTACACTATATTATCACCAAATCATGGTTTTAATATTTTGTCAATTAGTTTTTGAGTGAAAAAAGCATTATTTGTGGATCATTTTGGCAAAAACTGAGGTGCATGAGCTCAGATCAACGAGGCCTACAATCAATCAGTTTAAAAAACAAATACAAAACCTGTGCTAAGTGAAAGAACAGAAGTTGACAAAAATGATTGAATCCAATATTTGATTATATTATAGCATAACAAGAATTTTAAAAGCAATTTTTTTGTAGGCCGGTCATTTTTGACCAGGAAGACCTCAAGTGTAACATGGTGGCGAAACAAATCCCAAACAAGTACAAAAATTATAAACAATTTGGGGAAGTTGTTGTACCCTGTGTGAGCAAAGCATTACTACAAAACATTAACTAGCTTTGGGAAAAAAAGAAAATCTGGAAATGACTTGAACATGAGGGTTAAGATATTTCAAAAAGACAAAAATGAAGCGAGTTGTGCTTAAAACAAGGGGGAAAAATCTGCCAATGGGGTCAGAAAAATGAACTTAATTCAAAGGGAAAACAAGTTTATATTTTGACCCCAAAGACAGACATTTTTTCTTGTTTTATGCAAAAACTCACTTTATTCTGATAAATTTGTTTGCTGAAAATTCTATTAAAATTAAGAAAAGTGTAAAAAGTAAAAAAAATAAATAAAAATCGTTCTCCATCGACAGACATTTTTTATTGTTTTAAATGCAGTTACTTTTTATAACTGTGAAGCTCCTGTGAAACATTCTGTATTGTATAACCCGCTATAGAAACAAAGGTGACTTGACTTGACCCGTTATGTCATTTTGTTTCTAAAGTAATAGTATCTTGACTTAAGAATGTTTAGATACCTGTAATGGAAAGATTAAATAGGTAAAGATTAAATTTATATGGCAATCGCTCCGATTTTACTGGTTGCATTTCATCATGTTTTGCTATTAAACATGAAAAGTTCTCACTTCAGAAATGGTTGGGTTGCAATTTGTGAAAACACAGAAAATGCACTTCTAATGAAGCTGACATGTACTACTGTCTGTTTGTTAGGTTAGATGATGTCACAGCTACCGCCCACACTCAAAACTCCCTTTACTGCTCTCTGATTGGACGCCGTCCACTAAAAGACAGTGACCTTCAGTAAGATACAGACCTGCTTTCATCATTACTCCCACAATGAAGACCCAACAAACTCTAGAATGATGGAAAACTGCTTTGGGCTCGCTTCAGCAAATTTGGCACGCCTGGATCCACTCCATGACACATGATGACTACAATCTGAGGGG